GGATGGGGTTGAGGTCCCAGTGGGTGAGGGTGAGGATGAGGATGAGGGTGGGGTTGAGGTCCCAGTGGATGAGGGTGAGGGTGGGGATGGGGATGACGTCCCAGTGGGTGATTCCAGTAGCCTAAAGGAGTGAGCCCAGTGGGTGAAGGGGGCCTTAATAAGTGATGGTGAGCTAATTGGTAAGGGAAATGGGGAACCCTGTGGGTAAGGGTGAGAAGAGGGGTCCCAGTGGGTGAGGGTGAGTTGAGTGGCTGAGGTTGGGGTCCCAGTGGGTGAGCAGTGATCTGGTGGGTGTTTAAGTCGCAGGCTGGCATTCCTAAGAGTTGTTCCAAATGTGATGGTCCAAATAAACATCTGTCAAAACCTGGGCCAGAAAAATGAATAAAGGAAAAAAAAAACACAGGGCTGTAATGCCAGTATGGGAGCATTGGGATCAATTCAGGTCATTCTTCCAAAAAGCCAGCAGGAGGTGACCTGAATGGCCTCATCCTGGGTGCTGGTTGTGAGGAGCTGGAAAGTTGGCTGTTTTTGTAGGTGGAGGGGGTGGAAATTGTGCCACGGGGGAAAACGTTTTGGAAAATTTAATTAACAGTGTGGACCTTTTGATGTTTTTAAAAGGGCCTTAGAATGTAACTGGCAGTGTCACGTTTTCAAATGACTCTTGTAAAGAGCAGCGATGAAACAGGGTGAGCCTAACCCTATTCCAGATTCCACACGTTTTCACTCCAAACTCCAGGGGAAATACGGAACAGCCAGTTGTAAGAGATTTTTTGAAAACATTGCGAAGACCTTGGATAGTTTGAGTGTGGTGGGGAGTCAGTGTTGCCCCACACGTATGGTTGGGGATTTTCCAGTCGGTTACATTGTGTTTTGCAGACAGGAATCTGGCGGATGTGACGTGTTTCTATCTTGCTTTGAGCCTGTGCCAGGCTGGGATTGATCTGCACGCTGAACGGTGTAGACAAGAGCGGGGACTGGCACCAGGTTAAGGAGGCGATACCGTGAGCTAGTTATCAGGATCAGTGAGTGAAGCAGTCCCTGTTCACAAAACTGTCTCCAGACTGTGTTTCGAAAGAGGTTCCCACCCTTAGGGTACAGGCAAAACTGATTGAAAGGCGTTGTGATCGTTTCATAAAAGTTTACAATCTGTGGTTATAAGGTGCTCTGAGTCAGAACACGGGATTTGGGCCGGTTTCGGGAGGTGGGGGTGTAGTGGTTGTTGAGTCACCATCTCTGAAAGAGATGGTCAGCCATTTCAGGAACAAACAAACAGAAGTTGCTGGTAAAGCTCAGCAGGTCTAGCAGCGTCTGTGAAGAAAAATCAAGGTTAATGTTCTGGGTCCGGTGACCCTTCCTCAGACCTGAGGAACCATTTCAGAGTGAGAAAGAGAAATTTCTGTCCACTTTTAGGATTTCCCCCTCCATTGCCAAAATCCAACCATCTGGGGGCAGCTGTGGACAGTCGGTCACTGAGTTGCTTTGAGTCTGAGAGATTGATGAATTTTTGGCCTCTTGGGGAAAAGGGACGATAGTGGCCCTGGGTCCGATGATGATAATGGATGGGGGAGCAGCTCGAAGGCCCAAGTAGCCTCACTCTGTTCCTATCTCCAGTGTTCTTTGATGTAGAAGGTTTTTCCACAACACTTCAGAGGCCTAGTCTGAAAAGAAAAGGATATCAGGGCAAAAACAGGGGTTGTCAGGGCTGGTGACTGAATATTTACCCATAAGGTGGGTTTATAGGAGGATAGAGAAGTGATGGTAGGGTTTAGGGAGGGAGTTTAGAACTCAGGCTCCCATCCACTGAAGGCATAGCTGCCAATGAAGTGGACAAGTAAGTGAGGCTTGGTGAAAGGACCCCCACTTGGAGAAAGAAGATTGGACAGTAGTGTGGGTGTGGGGGATGTGGAGAAAGATGGGGAAGCTAGATTTGGAAATTGAGAAGGTGAGCTGTGGTGGGTGAGAGAGTTTAAAGCTTCATGTATCCTGTAGGTGAATCTGAGAAGCGAAGGACCAGGGAGATGGTGGAAATTTGGATGTGGGGGCTGCTGGTGTGGAGTCACTGCATGTTTGAACCTCTGTACAGATTGTGAGCAGCCTGGGTTAGCCAATGGCTTTGGAGAAGGCAAGAATATATTGGCCCTCATATTTTAAAGTATAGCCTTCCCAAGGGAACAACTCGCTCCATAATGGATGTTGACAAATTCCAGGGAGGTCATGGATGTTTACAGCATAGAAAAAGGCCCTTCAGCCCATCGAGTTTACACTGGTCAAAAACAAGAACCTAACTGTTCTAATCCTGTTTTCCAGCAGTTGGCCCTTAGCCTTGTGTGCCTTGCCGTTGCAACTGTACATCCTAAATATTTCTTAAATACCATGAGGGTTTCTCCCTTTCCCATCCTTACGGGCAGTGAAGTGGAAGTGAAATTTTACTAGGAGTCATCAGTGTGTCTCTGGAAACTGACAGTTTTGCAGTGGGGCAGGATGTAGATAAGATTTGGTGGGAGGCAGATGAAGAGCTAATCCTTTGGCTGAGAGAAAGTATTACAGGGATTCCCCATTGTCGTGACTGTGTGGAGGAAGTCTTGCTGAGTTAGCCAATGGAGGGTTCGTGTTGGTGGAAGAGTGGTGGGTCAGTGAGGGATGGGACTAATGGGAATTCACAACAGGAGGTCATTGAGCTGCAGGAAATGTAGGATCTGTTTGTGTTTGAATCCTACATTCCCATCTCTTCACCACCACCCCTGTTCTCTGCTCCATAACCCTTGATTTCCCCCTATCTAGTGAGAATCTATCTGCTTCTGCCCCAACAATATTCAATGACTCCCCTACTCCACCATCCCCTCTATGTTATCTCTTGGTGTGATCACATCATTCCTCAAAAGTAGCCTAAACGGTAAGTTCCAGCCACACCTCCCTGCCTGCTAGCCTCCTTAAATGCCTTAGCCAACCTATCCAGATGTCAGAGATAGTAGGAACTGCAGATGCTGGAGAATCTGAGATAACAAGGTGTAGGTGAAACGTCAGCTTTCCTGCTCTTCTGATGCTGCTTGGCCTGCTGTGTTCATCCAGCTATACACCTTGCTACCCAGGTGTCATCCTACTTTCAGGAATCAAGGGTTATGGTGAAATGGCAGGAAAGTGGAGCTGAGAATTATCAGATCAGCCAGGTCCCATTGAATGGTGGAGTAGTCTCTGTGGGTTGAATGGCCTAGTTCTATTTCTACATCTTATGGTCAGTGGAGAAGCTTATCCCTTCTTTTTGTTGCTATCCCGTGGTTTATTGGGGATTTGCGCTCCTCATATTCATTATGCTCCAGGTTCACTTCCATTTGCTACCTTTCTCTCTAAATGACCAGTTCACTGAAATATCCCCAGAGTCTACACCTTTCTTCCTCATGGTGTTTCGCCATGGGAACCTGCCTCGGAGGAAGTTGGTTGTGATTTTGAGTTCTGTTGTACCACCTAGATGTGCTGAAGTTTTATTGGAATAGATTCTGTTGGAGTTTCAGGAATTAAGGTGGAGAGTGTGCAGGGAGGTGACCATTAGAGAGTAGAACATAGAACAGTACAGTGCAGGAACAGGCTCTTTGGCCCACATTGTCTGTTCCAACCCTGAAGCCATTCTAAACTAATCCCAACTATCTGCCAATGCCCTGGTTCCATCTATTCTCTACCTGCTCATGTGTTTGTCTAAATGCCTCTTAAACATTGCTATCATGTCTGCTTCTACCACCTCCCCTAGCAGCATGTTCCATCCTCTGTGTACAAAAAACGTACCTCGCACATCTCCTTTAAATTTTCCCCTTTCACCTTAAACCTGTGCACCCCAGTATTTGATATTTCCCACCCTGGGAAAAAGACTCCAACTATCCACCCTATCCATGCCTCTCATCATTTTATATACTTCTAACAGGCCACCCCTCCTCCTCCAGTGCTCTCGTGAAAACAATCCAGGTTTGTCCAAACTCTCCTTTTAGCTAACACACTCCAATCCAGGCAACAAACTAATAAATAAAATAAAACACTGCACATTCTGGAGATCTGAAACAAAAACAGAAATAGTTGGAGTTCTGATGAAGTAACTTGTTTTCTTCCCGCGGATGTTGCCAGACCTGCTGAGTTTCTGCAGCAATTTCTGTTTTTGTTTCAAACATCCCGGTACATGTCTTTTACACCCTCTGCAAACCCTCCATATTCTTCCTATAATGTGGCAACCAGAACTGCACACAATTGAGGGTGGGGTTGGAGAGGGAGAGAGAGAAAGAGCAATCACAAGAGTGCAGTAAAGGGTTCTTCAAACTGATTCCTGGGGATTGAGTTGACTCTGCCTGTATTCACTGGAAGGGATCTCGTTGAAACACATGAAACTGTGACAGGGCTTTAGAGACTGGAGGAAGGATGCAGGGAGCATGTTCCTCTTCGATAGAAGAGCCTAGTACGAGGAGCCAGGGTCTCAGGATTTGCAGTAGATCAGATTGGACTGAGATGAGAAGTTTCTTCACTCAGAGGCTGGTGAACCTATGGAATTCTCTCTGCCAGGCTGCTGTGAGGCAAAGTCACTGAAAATATTTAAGAAAGAAATAGATACGTTTCTATAGGCTGAAGGTTTTTTTATTCATTCACGGGATGAGGATGTCACTGGCCAGGCAGCATTTATTGCCCATCCCTAATTGCTGAGAGGGCAGTTACGAGTCAACCACATTGCTGTGGGTCTGGAGTCACATGTAGGCCAGACCAGGTAAGGATGGCAGTTTCCTTCCCTAAAGGACATTAGTGAATCAGATGGATTTTCCCTGACAGTTGACAATAGATTCACTGTCATCGTTAGACACTTAATTCGGATATTTATTGAATTCAAATTCCACCATCTGCCATGGCAGGATTCAAACCCTGGTCTCCAGAACATTATCTGGGTCTCTGGATTAACAGTTCAGCGATAATACCACTAGGCCATCGCCTCCCGCTGCTGTCGAGGGGAATGGGGAGAGAGTGCAGGAGTGTGGCTTTATGGTCGAGCAATAGCCACGATCATGTTGAATAGTGGTGTGACCTCGATGGGCTGATGGGCCACCTCGTCTTCCTGCTGCTGGTTTGTACGAGTGTATTTGGAGGAAGAGAAGGTTGGAGAAGCGATGATCAGGACAGAAAGTTTAAAGTTTGTCGTTTTGTTGAGGAGTTTGGCAAGGCAGGAGTCACGCTCTCCACCGCTGCACCCCACCCCAACTCTCATTCTGTCGCTCTCGGTCTCAGTCTCTCACACGCTTTCTTGTGTAACATTGTGTGGAGGCCAGGAAAGAGAAGGTGGATGTTCAGGGGCAGTGAGCTGGTGGAGAATGTGAAGATTCTGGAGTTGGTGCTGACAAATTCGAGGAGTTGGGTAGAATGGGCCTGAGGCTGTGCAGGAGGGGTGGGGATCGGGGAGAGGGGGGAATGGTTGAGGAAGGTATTGGGTTTTTGGGACAGGGAAAAGAAGGGGCAGTTCGGAGCTGTTTTCGATCTCGTTGATGAAGCTCCTTATGTTTTCTCCAGTGGGAAATTGGAATGACTGTTTCTGGAAATGGGGATATTTTCCAGATGATATTACAGGGTCAGCAGTAGAGGTTGAGTAGAGCGAGATCCAATCAACATTCCTGTGACCAGAAATAAAAATGGGCCATCTGAGTGATTGTCACATTTCTCGTGTGTGGGATTTTGCTGTGTTCCAGTATCTTGCCAAGTTTCATACCTTGCAGGAAAGGTCCACAATGGGTTTCACTGACTTTGAGAAGCTGAGTACGAGCTGGCCTCCTGGCTTGAATACCTCAGACCTCACGGCTCTGTACTGCCTAGACCCGATAGCTGGGGAGACTAAAGGCCTGATTCTCTGTGAAGTTTGTCAGAGGGCAGGCCTGTATTCCCCCATTCATCTCTTGTGTGTGTGTGTGTGTTCCTGATTGGCCCCATCACTGCAGAATGAACTGGAACACCTGGTGTCAACTGGCCAATGTACATAGAAGTGAGAAATGTGTTTAAAATCCTACAGTTTCCCACACATCCCACAGGAAATAGGTCAGTGGTCAATGCACTGGGAGCTGACCCACAGAGAACACAACCACCATGGTTATGGATAGTAGACCCCCACACAGAAGAAGAGGATGGCCAAAGTGAGGGTAGGACCAATCAGGAATAGTGGAGGGAACTTGTGTGCAGAGTCAGAGGAGATAGGGGAGGTCCTTGATGAATACTTTGCTTCAGTATTCACCAGTGAGAGGGACCTTGACATTTGTGAGGACAGCATGAAACAGGCAGAAATGCTTGAACAGGTTGATGTTAAGAAGGAGGATATGCTAGAAATTTTAAAAAACATGCGGATAGATAAGTCCCCTGGGCCAGATGGGAAATACCCAAGGTTACTATGGGAAGCGAGGGAAGAGATTGCTGTCCCTTTGGCAATGATCTTTGTATCCTCACTGTCCACTGGAGTAGTACCAGAAAATTGGAGGGTGGCAAATGCCATTCCCTTGTTCAAGAAAGGGAATAGGAATAATCCTGGAAATTACAGAACAGTCAGTCTTACTTCTGTGGTGGGCAAATGATTGGAGAGGATTCTGAGAGATAGTATTTATGATTATTTGGAAAAGCACAGTTTGATTAGAAATAGTCAGCATGGCTTTGTAAGGAGCAGGTCGTGCCTCACAAGCCTTATTGAATTCTTTGACGATGTGACAAAACGCAACGATGAAGGTCGAGCATTGGACGTGATGTATATGGATTTTAGCAAAGCATTTGATAAGGTTCCACGTGGTTGGCTCATTCAGAAAGTGAGGAGGCATGGGATTCAGGGAAATTTGGTTGTTTGGATACAAAACTGGTTGTCCAATAGAAGACAGAGGGTGGTAGTAGATGGAAAGTATTCAGCCTGGAGCTCAGTGACCAGTGGTGTTCCGCAGGGATCTGTTGTGGGACCTCTGCTCTTTGTGATCTTTATAAATGACTTGGATGAGGAAGTGGAAGGGTGGGTTAGTAAGTTTACTGATGATACGAAGATTGGTGGAGTTGTAGACAGCGTGGAGGGCTGTTGAAGGTTGCAACGGGACATTGACAGGATGCAGAGCTGGGCAAAGAAGTGGCAGATGGAACTCAGCCCAGAAAAGTGTGAAGTGATTCATTTTGGAAGGTCGAATTTGAATGCAGAATACAGGGTTAATGGCAGGATTCTTGGAGGTGTGAAGGAACAGAGGGATCTTGGGGTCCACATCCATAGATCCCTCAAAGTTGCTACCCATGTTGATAGGGTTGTAAAGAAGGTGTATGGTGTGTTGGCTTTCATTGGCAGGGGAATTGAGTTTAAGAGCTGTGAGGTTATGCTGTAGCTGTATAAAACTCTGGTTAGACCACTCTTAGAATATTGTGTTCAGTTCTGGTCACCTCATTACAGGAAAGATGTGGAAGCTTTAGAGAGGGTGCAGAGGAGATTTACCAGGATGCTGCTTGGACTGGAGGGCAGGTGTTATGAGGGAAGGTTGAGGGAGCTAGAGCTTTTTTCATTGGAGCGAAGAAAGATGAGAGGTGACTTGATAGAGGTTTACAAGATAATGAGAGGCATAGATAGAGTGGATAGTCAGAGACTTTTTTCCCAGGGCAGGAATGACTATTACGAGGGGACATAATTTTAAGGTGATTGGAGGAAGGTATAGGGGAGACGTCAGAGGTAGGTTCTTCACACAGAGAGTGGTGGGCGTGTGGAATGCGCTGCCAGCAGTGGTAGTGGAATCTGATACATTAGAGACTTTTAAGCGACTCTTGGATAGGCACATGGAGGATAGTAAAATGTAGGGTATGCAGGGTAGATTGATCTTAGTAGGATAATAGGTTGGCACAACATCATGAGCCGAAGGGCCTGTACTGTGGTGGACTGTTCTGTGTTCTATATGCACCACATAGCAACGAGATAATGATCATTTATGTAAAGACAATGGATTGAGGGGCAGATGTTGACCCCAGAAGCCGTGGGGGATCACCCCTGCCCTGGGCAGCTGCACAGTGCTAGTAGTTAATCCCATCAGAAAGAGTGGCCCCCTAAAGCTGTAGAACTTACTGAACTGACAAACTGCTCAGTTAGCCCTCACTTAGTAGTACAATAACCACTGAACTCTGATCGATACTCCCACTGCTACTTATACATCCTGGAATTTTATTTGGATACATCCCAGTGTGGGGGTTATTTGTTTTAGCTGCTCGCGTTACTAAAACATTGCAACACGCTGCTGACTCACCTTGTTCGTAGTCTCCCTCCTTGCCCGTCTCTCTCTGTCTGTCTCTCTCTCTCTCTATCTCTATCTGCCGGTGCCTCTCTCTTTCCTGCCTTTCCCCATGCCCCTCTGTCCCTGTCTGTCTGTCTCTCTCTCTTTCTCTCTGCCTCCCCCCCAATATTTCTTCCTTCCCCCACTCACACTCTTTCTGTCTCTCTGTATCTGTCTGCTTCCCCCGCCCCCACTCTCTGCTTCCCCCCTGCTTCTCTCTCTCTCTCTCACACTCTCTGCCCCCCCCACTTTCCCCCTCCTGATGGGATCCCAGGGGAGACAGGATAGGGGACAAGGGCAGAAGAGGGGACAGGGAGATCCTGGGGTGGGGGGAATGAGGGGATCCCAGGGTGGAGGAGAGAGGAGACCAGGGAATCCTGTGGGGGGGAGGTGGAGTGTGAGGGGATCCATGTCTTGGGGAGGGGAGGGAGGATGGATGGGAAAAGGGACCGTGGAGCTCCCTATGGATATGTGGGGAGGGAGAGAGGGAAGGGCTCGCTATCCTGCTGAGTGAGCCTGTCTGCTGCTGGTTTGTTGAACAGCAGTTTCATTCAGCTGACTTGTATCATCATCCACAGGATTCTCTGCAGCAATCCAGGTGACCATCCCAGATCCCTTTCGGACAGCGATCCTTTTCCAGCCTGTCATCCTGAAATGTCGTTATGATACAACCAGCCTGCAACCCCCCATTGTCCTGTGGAAATACAAATCCTTCTGTCGAGACCGAATCCTGGATGCATTCAATCCCAGCAGCTCAGAGAATCAGGTCAATGACCAACTGCAGCAAGTGGATCCAAATTACAATCCATACGTGAACTGTCCAGATAGCTCTCGCACAGTGAGGACAGTCGCATCCAAACATGGAAAAGCAGTGACCCTGGACAGTTATTATCAGGGTCGAAAGATAACCATCGTCAACGGTAAGGGAGCAGGAACACACCCATTCAGCCCATTGAGCATCCTACCCCATTCAACACGATCAATGCTGATCACCAGCATCTGGTTAACTCCCTTGCCTGTCCCCAAAAAGGCCATCCATGTGAACACTGAATCTCGTCAGGCATTTGGCCTGCACAGCCCACCCGGGCAGAGAAACACATTCCTCACCCTCGTGAATGAGGACGTTCCTCCTCCACTCGGACCAGTGCAACTTGTCTCAGAAGCTGAGACTGTGACTCTGTCCCTGGGGAGGGATGTGTGTGGGCGGTGGGTGTGTGACCTCTCGGAGTCGACCCTATCAAACTCGTCATTCTTGCGCGATTCACAGGGACCATGTTCCATTCTTCGAGAGAGAACCTGGGTTCAAATCTCACCACAGCAGATGGTGTAATTTGAATTAAGTCTCTAATGATAACCTGAAGCCATTATTGATTGCTGTAAAAACCTATCGAATTCAAATATGTCCTTGAGAGAAGGAAACTGCCATCCTTACCTGGTGTGGCTCTCACTAGACCCACAGCGATTATGACTGGCTCATAAATGCCCTTTGGGCAATTAGGGATGGGCAATCAATGCTGGCCCAGTCAGCAACACATCCAGGGAATTAATAAAACTTTATTTAAGAATAGTTTGCAGTATGCTGGGTATCCACTGCTGTTGGATTGCAGACAGGTGTCAGTCTGCACCAAACTGAACCTGAGGAGGGGGACCCACATACTGCCCCTGTACCTGGTCACCAGCTTCCCTTCACAACTTGGCACATTTTTGGTGTCTTGCTTCCTACTGTGGTAAGACGGACTCTGCATATCACTCCCTAACACTGTGAAGGAGAGCCATACAGCTGTACAGCACAGAAACAGACCCTTCAGTCCACTTCGTCCATGCTGACCAGATATCCTAAATTAATCCAGTCCTATTTGCCAGCTTTTGGTCCGTATCCCTCTAAACCCTTCCTCTTCATGTAGCCATCCAGATGCCTTTTAAACATTGTAATTGTACCAGCCTCCACCACTTCCTCTGGCGGCTCATTTTCTGTATGTTCCTTTTAAACCTTTCCCCTCTCACCTTAAATCTGTGCCCTCCAGTTTGGACTCCCCTACCCTGGAAGAAAGACCTTGTCTATTCACCCTATCCATGCCCCTCATGATTTTATAAACCTCTATAAGGTCACCCCTCAGCCTCCGACGCTCCAGGGAAAATAGCCCCAGTCTATTCAGCCTCTCCCTGTAGCTCAAACCCTCCAACCCTGGCAACATCCTTGTAAATCTTTTCTGAACCTTTTCAAGTTTCACAACATCCTTCCTGTAGCAGGGAGACCAGAATTGAATACACTATTCCAAAAGTGGCCCTAACCAATGTCCTGTACAGGCGTAACATGACCCTTCCAACTCCTGTACTCAAAGTACTGAGCAGTGAAGGCTAGTGTACCAAATGCGAGAGTTCTTGCTATGACTCTGACTCCTGACATATATTACAGGACAGTTTGGAGCATCTGATTCCAAGCAGTCAGCGATTAACCGAGACCCGGTATGATTTTGATTCTCTGTTTGTTCACAGTCATCATACAGGACAACTTGGAAATGAATCTCTCTTCAGCTGTAACTGGGCTGTAACCAGGGTGACAGCTCTCTCACTTCTTTGCTTCATGTTTCTTTCTCATTCAGAAGCCGACCTCAGCATTGAGCAGACAGCTTGGGGAGACAGTGGGGTTTATTACTGTACAGTCACTGCCTCTGATGATCTCTCGGGTAACAATGAAGGTTACGTGGAGCTGCTTGTCCTGGGTAAGTGAATCTCACAGCGGTACAGGCGTACGGGCACCCCCCCACCTCACACACACACGTGCACGCACACACACGTGCAAAGGCGCACGCACGCGCACGCACACTCTGACTGTCACTGGGGTACGGGCTCACACACACGCACTCACGCTCACTCTCACACTCACTGTCTCACTCACTCTCTCTACTCTCGCTCTCGCTCTGCATTCACACTGACTCCCTCTCTCTCTCTCACACGCACTCTCTCTCACACGCACATCCTACCACCCCCACCTCCACTGGCGGACCATTGGTTGATCGGGTGAAGAAACAGTTTCTCTGTTGAGTTCAGATTGCATGTCCTGCCTCATTGATTCCTGTTACTATGTTTTTAATGTGGCTTGTTGGTGGCCTGTGTGTGTTTGTTGCCTTTCATTCAACCAATGAACTGAGTTAATGGGAGGGAATGAGCTCCCAATCCCAATGAGCAACATCCGAAGGTTTTTTTTTTATGGTTAAAGGTGGAGAGTGGTTTGTCCGAATGCATCGCTGCTTCTTAACCAGTGACTTCTGTGACGTGCAGGTGACTGTGTGTCTATGGTCCCCAGAGTCTGGCCATTGGTGAGATTGTGAGAAAGCATGGGGCGGGATGGTGTGGTGGGAGTGCTCCCTGTGATGATTCTACATAAACACTTACAGAGACCCCCATATTGTGACCACCCCAGTGTCCTGCACCTCCCTGTCAGGAATTGGGTGGGGAGGGCATCAGAAACCTCCATGTTGGGGCACACTCCCTGCGCAGAGGAAGTTCACTGGACTACCTAGAATGAGTAGATTGCTCAATGAGGAAAGGCGAGCCTGAGTGAACATAAGAACCAGGAGCAGGAGTAGGCCATTTGGTTGTTCGACCCCGCTCCGTTATTCAATAAGACCGTGGCTGATCTTTTTGTGGCCTCAGTTTCACTTACCCACCGTCTCACCATAACTCTTAATTCCTATACTATTCACAAAATTATCTATGGTAGCTTTAAAAACATTCAATGAGGAAGCCCCAGCTGCTTCACTGGGCAGGGAATCCTACAGATTCACAGCCCTTTGGGTGAAGATGTTCCTCCTCAGTTCAGTCCTAAACCTGCTCCCCCTTATTTTGAGGCTATGCCCCCTCGTTCTAGTTTCACCCGCCCCAGTGGAAATATCCTCCCTGCTTCGAGCTTATCTACTCCCTTCATAATTTTATATGTTTCTATAAGATCCCCCCTCATTCCTCTAAATTCCAATGAATATAGTCCCAGTCTATTCAGCTTCTCCTCATAAGCCAACTCTCTCAACTCCGGAATTAACCTAGTGAATCTCCTCTGTACCCCCTCCAGTGCCAGGACACCCTTTCTCAAGTAAGGAGACCAAAACTGTACACAGTACACCAGGTGTGACCTCACCAGCACCCTATACAGCTGTAATATAACCTCCCTGCTTTTAAACTCAATCCCCCTAGAAATGAAGGACAGTATTCCATTTGTCTTCTTAACTACCTGCTGCACCTGCAAACCAACCTTCTGTGATTCATGCACAAGGACACCCAGGTCCCTCTGCACCGCAGCATGCTGCAATATTGTAACATTCAAAATAATAGTCCTTTTCACTGTTATTTCTACCAAAATAGATGACCTCACACTTATCAACATTGTACTCCATCTGCCAGACCTTCGCCCACTCACTTAAACTGTCTATATCCCTCTGCAAACTTTCAGAGTCCTCTGCACATTTTGGTGTACCACTCATCTTAGTGTCATCCACAAACTTTGACACGTTACACTTGGTCCCCAATTCCAAATCATCGATGTA